AAAAGAAAAAAAGAAATATAACGCAAGCCATGTATGTAATTCTAAATTTTCTAGTAGACACATGTAGTAGGTTGAATAATGGTCACCCAAAAACATCAAGTCCTAATCTCTGGAACTTTTAAATGTTACCTTATTTGGAAAAAAGGTCTTCACGGATGTAGTTAAGGATTTTGAGATGAGATTACCCTGGATTATCCTGGTGGGCCCTAACTGCCATCATAAGTGTCCTTATAAGAGAGAGGCAGAAAGAGAGAACATAGACAGAGGAGAAGGCAAAGGAAAGACGAGGCAGAGAGTGGAGCGATGCAGCAACAAGCCTAGGAATTCCACGGTAGCCACCAGAAGGTAGAAGAAGCAAGGAACACATTCTCCCCTGCAACCCATTTCAGGCCCTTCTCAGACTGTGAGAGAATAAATATTTGTTGTTTTAAGCTATCAGGTTTGTGGTAATTTATTACAGCAGCCTCAGGAAACTAATAAAACACATATCAAAAAGTGAAAAGATGGGGCCGGCCTCGTGGCATAGTGATTAAGTTTGTGCTCTCCGCTTTGGTGGCCCAGGATTCACAGGTTCAGATCCTGGGCACGGACCTACGCATACCTTATCAAACCATGCTGTGGCGGCGTCCCACGTATAAAGTAGAGGAAGATGGGTATGGATGTTAGCTCAGGGCCAATCTTCCTTAGCAAAAAGAGGAGGATTGGCAACAGATAAAGTAGAGGAAGATGGGCACAGATATTAGCCCAGGGCCAATCTTCCTCAGCAAAAAGAGGAGGATTGACAACAGACGTTAGCTCAAGGCTAATCTTCCTCACAAAAAAAAAAAAGTGAAAAGAAGTAGGTGAAATTAATTTTGATAACATATTTTATTTAACCCAATATCTACAAAATATTATCACTTCAACATGTAATCAATATAAAAATTATTAATGAGATATTTTACATTCTTTTTCTCATATAAGTCTCTGAAATCTGAATTGTATTTTTATACCTATGACACATCTCAATTCAGACTAGCCACATTTAAAGGGCTCTTGGGACCACTGGCTACCATATAGGATGGCCCAGCACTAGCCTGTCATAGGCCTCCAGGCTAGCACCAGCCTGAGAGTTTGGAGCCTCATTGCCTATGAGTCATTCTCTCCCACAGACACTGTGATCATTGGGGGCAGGAACCTTGTCCCATTCATCTGGGTATCTCAATGCCCCTCCCCCACCAGGGCTGGATGCCCCCTCACAACACTCTGGGACCCTTGGCACAGAACAGGGAGGGAGCTGGAGTCAGGGAGAGGGAATGCATGGACTTCTGATGTCCTGCCATCACCCCCACATGGAACTCCCACACTGGGGCACAGATCAGACCATGTGGGATAGCCTGTGAGTGAATGGATGAAGTAAAGTGAGGCCACAAGACCCTTCTCAAAGCCCTCCAGACGCGCAGAGCCTCCTCCGCTTGAGTTAGCAGCTCCATTCCCAGGCTAAGAAAGGACAAGATCTGTGCCCAGCCTTAGTTCCTGTGGGCCTCTATCCTGTGCCTCCCACAGCATGACGCAGCCCAGACAGCACAGGATGGGGCTATGGGAAGGGTCTCCTGCCTTCCTAAGGCCAACGCCCCCACTCTCTGCCAGCTCTGCCAGCCCACAGGCCTTCCCTTGACGGGCACATGACGAGAGGAATCCCCATGGCACACCTTGGTCCGAACAAGCCCCTCTCCGAGCAGGGCTCCCCTGACCACATGGTGCACGAGGTGGGGGTGGGGAGAAGGCAGTTTGGGAGTCTCCCACACACACCCAGCCCCAGCGCCCGCCAGGCCAGGCGCCACTCAATGCCTCCCTTCCCGGTGCTGGTGCCAGCCCCGCCTGAGCTGTCCAGACACGGGGAGGGGTGGGGCCTGCAGGCTGTCAGGCCACGTGTAGGGCCCAGGGGGGAGGAGGGAGGGCAGGCGGGCAGGTTGCTCTTAAGGCGGGTCTGAAGGTGAACAGTGCCTCCCCTTACTCCTCACCTGGACTCTGAGCCTTCTTGGTCCCGGGAGCTGGGAGTGAACACAGCAGCCCCTGGACACCAGGTAGGTGCCTTTTTTCTTTAAGGAGAAGAGAGGGAGACAGCATCTCGCACCTGACTCGTGTAACCCTTTGTCCTCAGCTTCTCCACCTCTCCTGGGGGCTCCGTGAGAAGGTGGAGAGAAACGGGGAGGAGGTTGTGCATGAGAGAGATGGTCTCAGGACCACGGACCTTGGAGTTCAGCAGAACTAAATCTGTACCCCTCAGTGTACAGAGGAGAGAACCGAGATCCAGGGAGGGAAAGAGCCTTGCCCAAAGCCACGGAGACTTGGGAAGGGAATGAACGCAGAACCTGGCCTCCTGCTTCGTAGCCTGGAGCACGGAGCCTGGCCCTGAGCCCCGCTGCCGGGCCCTTCAGAGGCTGCCAGGAATCCAGGGGTGGGGGAACAGGGCCTTCAATGGTCCTGCAGGTCCCTGCCTGCTGTCCCAGGTGCTGCTTCACTGGTCTGGGTAGAGGGGATAGGACAATCAGAAGCCACTCTTTGAGGATAGGGGATGGGGTGGAGGCTGGGCTATTGAGGTAAGTTACTATCGGGAGACTCAGGCTTCCCCTCACCTACCCTCTCCCTTCGGTGGCCTGGGCCTGTAGGAGGGAGAGAGTAAGTCAGGAGAAGAGGCTGGCAATGAAGTGGAAGAGGGGATTTGCCAAGGAATCAAGATCCCCATTGCCTCCGGAGCCCTTGGGATGAAGAAAGAGATTTGAGTCTGCATGTGAAGGAGAGTGGGTGGGAGGGACCTATAAATAACGCAGAGCTGGCTGGAGCCCTCCTTATCCACTATACATCCCCAACATACACACACACACACACACACACACACACACACACACACACTCACACAGTCCTGAGCCCCAGGGACCCTCCCCTGCCCCCTAGAGCAGGAAAGAAAGAGCTAGAGAAGTGTGCTGGTGAGGGAGCGTGTCCAGGAACAAAGGAGTGAGCCCAGCCCTGTCCTGGGAGGTCCGGTGGTGATTCAGGAAGTGTCAAAGGTGAGAAGAGTTTGAAGAAGAGCCTGAGGGGCTGCCTGCCCTTTGCTCAATCCCAGGCCTGTCCCACTGGGTTCCAGAATCCCAGAAGGGGCAGAGTGGAAGGGGCCTTAAATCTATGAAGCAACGGCATAGAGCGTGGACCATGGAGCAGGCCACCTGGCTTCAAATCCCAGTTCCACCACTGGCTTCTGTGGGGTGTATGACCTTGGGCAAATCCCTTCACCTCTCCAGTCCACAGTAAGAATACCTTCTTCAAAGAACCATTGAGAAAATGAAATAAGTAAGTTTTAAGTATCTGTTATGATCATATTCCCATTATAACGATGGGACAAGTGAGGCCCAGAGAGGAAAGGACCCTTGCCCATGGTGCCATAAAAGCACTTTTCAAATCAGTAGGCAGGCATCCTGGGTCCTGGTCCTGGGGGGAGACCCAGGCCCCCAGGGTGCTCTGCAAAGTCAGTAACCCCAGCATCCTCTGCAGGGCCCAGCCGAAAGCCCTGCAGCGTGTACCAAGATCCTGCCCTCAGAAACTCAGGCTGCTTGAAGTGTGTGAGGAAAAAGCCACAGCTCTGTGTCCTCGGCTGCCCCCAGGAAGGAGCTCAGAGGCCTGTTCCCTTCCACTGCCATTTATAGACACGCTTCCTGAGCCTGGGGTGTGCCCGCCCGGTCCAGGACCCAGCCAAGGAAAAGTCTGGCAGCAGGGCCTACAGGAGCCGTTGGGGAGAAAAGGGGCCCGGCTTTTCTCATTAACCCACTATGTGACCTTGGGCAAATCATGCTCTCTCCCTGGACCTCAGGTGTCCCTCTGCATTTGAACTCCACGTGGTGCAAGGAGTTAAGAGTCCAAAGTCCCACAGCCTGGATCTGAATCCCAGCTCTACCCCTTTTCTGGATGTGTGGCCGAGGCTGATTTCTTAAACTGTCTGCATCTCAGTGTCTCCACCTGTAAAATGGGCTGGTAATAAGGGTGCAGTACTTCCTAGGGTTGGGAGAGGATTAGAAGAGTTACCACATGTAAAACCAGCACCTGGCACATGGTGAGTGCTCAATAAGTGGGAGCTATTATTATTTATTATTGTGAAGGTGTTACACTCTTTATACTCCCTTATTTCTAAGTAGTACTTAGAACTGCCCAACTGCTTTCATAAACAGCACTTCATTGGTTCCAAAGCTGCACGGCAGGAATTCTCATTCCCATCTCACAGATGAGGAAACTGAGGGTCAGAGTCGCACCTTCAAGAACTGTTTGAGCTGGGATTCAAATCTGAATCTTCAGACTCCAGAGTCTGCATTCATTTCATTTGCCGCAGGCTGGCCTTTTCCAGCACTGGGGGTCTGACTCTAACACATGGCATGGTGGAGGCATCTTGGAAAAAGGGTAAAACAGAGTTGGAGAGTGCTGGGGCAAGCGGTCAGGCTCAGTGCAGGCTGTGGTAGTACAACCAGCATGTCCCAGTTCCTTATGGTTTTCTTGGCAGCCTCGGTCCTAGAGCCTCTTACCTCCTACCCAGCCCCACCTATAAGAAACTAGCATGTAGCAATAAGGTTAGACAATGGGAAGAATTTTCCACACCAAGGAAAATGAGAAGGTTTGGACATCTCTTTCCCGGATGAGCCCCCAGGGAGTGAATATCATCTGATGATGTCACTCCCCAGCTCAAAACTGTTCTGTGGTTCCCCATTGCCCTCAGGGTTGAGTTGACGCTACTGAGCCTGCCTGCAAGGTTCTGCAGGATCTGGCCAGCCTACCTCCTCCAACTCCCTCTTTCCCTCCAACCACCCCAGATGCTCTCTGTTTCCCAGACGTTCAATAATGCCTTGTCATTTCCCCTGTCCACCAGGCCTTCGAACACGCCTGCCTCCTCACCCCTACCTGCCTTATCCAGCTAGTTCCTGTTTTTCCTTCTTATCTCCCTTCACATGCCCCTTCCTCCAGGAAGTCCTCCCTGACCTCCTCCCATCAGTGCTTACAGAGTCCCCTCTGCTTCCCCTCCTTCCTGGTGACACTGTTTATGATTCTCACCTGCTTCCTTGTCTGTTTCACCAACTGGCCCACGTGGAGTAGTAGCTAAGCACAGGGGGCCCAACATCGGGCGGCCTGTTGTCCAGTCTTGCCCTGACACCTGTTGGCTATGCGACCCTTGGGCAAGTCACTTACCTCTCTGTGCGTTTTCACATTGTAATATGGAATAATAAAAGTATCTACCTCATAGGCTGGTTATGAGGACTTTAAAAGCCTTTATATGTAAATACCAGTGCCTACGTGCATGGTAATTACTCAACAAATATTAGCCAGTATTTATTTAATAAATACGCCTGGGACACAGCAGATATTTAATAAACTTCTATTGAAGTTATTTAATTTAATGATTATTTGCATAATGCTTACTATGTGCCAGGCACTGTTCTTAGCATGTTACAAATATTAACTCATTTTACAGATAAGGAAACTGAGGCACAGAGAAGTTAATTAATTTGCCCAACATTCTACAGCTAGTAAGTGTGGAGCCAGAATGCAAACCCAGGACATCTGGCTCCAGCATCTGCACTTGTCAATGAATGAATAAATATGTTTGAGGCAAGGGGAGGCAGGGGTCTCATCTACAAAGTCACTCAGTTCCCACTCTCGGCCTCTTTCAGCTCCTGGGAGTTCCTGGCTGGCAAGCGGCATCCCTGGGATGTAAGTGAGGCTGGCTGGAAGCCAGAGGTAAACCGCCAGGTCACTGCCCCCACCATGTCACAGGTGATATCCAGCTCCCTGCTGGCGGGAGGCCATGCCGTGGGCTTGGCTCCCTGTGAGGAACCCAGGAGAACCCTTCACCCAGCACCCAGCCCCAGCCTGCCGCCCCAGTGTCCTTACTACACCACAGAAGGCTGGGGAGCCCAGGCCTTGATGGCCCCCACGCCCTGCAAGGGGCCACCCAGCAGGTTCCAGCCCGCCCCACAGGCTGGAGCCAAAGCCAGCCGCCTCCTGCAGTCCCCTGATGAGCAGGCCTCAGGGTGTCTGGAGGACCTTGACTCCTACATTGACTTGTCGTTGGAGAGCCTTAACCAGATGATTCTGGAACTGGACCCCACCTTCCAGTTGCTCCCCCCAGGGGCTGGTAGCTCCCGGCCCGAGCCTGCTCAGAGCACTACCTCAAGGAGAAAGAAGGAAGAGCCTGAAGCCGTAGGTAAGGACCTGGTGCGCAGTGCCAGAAGGGGGGCTTGGGGACCAGACCTCATGAGGAAGAAGGACTTTTCTATCAAATCAGACGCACAGGGAACAATGTCCTGCTGGGAGGTGCTGTGCAGTCCTAAACAAATTACTTAACCTGTCTGTTTTCTCTGCTATATAAAAGGGATAAAGACAACTTTCCCTCACTATCCAACTCTATTTGGTTCCTGAGTTTGGAAAGTGATGGATACATGTTTTACGTGATTTTTAAGAGAGTTTAAATAAGAGCATACACGTAAGAATTTTGTACAATGCCATGTATATAAATAAGAGCTCGATACATGTAGGGTCCCTGAACCTCACTGTTCTATGGTGTCTCTCGTTAGGTCCTAACCTAGGTCCGTGAAATTTTTGTAGGATTGCTTTCCGGGTCCCTGTCCCCGTTCAGGGGGGTATCTGTCTGGAGAAGCCCAAGCTGGAAGTAGTAGAGATGGAGAGACACAGAATTAAGTCTATTTAGGGCAGGAACCCCATTGTGTTTAAGCAGGAGTGTACTGGTAAATGCTTAATAACTGGCTCCCTGGTGGAGTGGGAGAGAGCCCTGATTTGAAGCGTCTCCCAATTTCCATGGTGTAAATTCTCCGACCATGGCCAATTTCAAGCCACCAACATGGTGTCACTGAATGTGGCATTGGAAAGAGATACATAGTAGCAGGCCATTATATAGTATTTCTACCTTACCAATACAACAGATATAAATAACCTCAAGAGTATAGATAACAGTAAAATAATTGGGATGTGATTAATTTTGAGTATTTATTAGTTTTGCTTTTAATATGTTATCTACTTGTAAGTTTATATAATTTAAATTTTCATAATGGCTGCATTTAGCAACCAGCTGGACAAAATCCTGAAAATTTAACAACAGCTTTCACGATCTGGTACAAGCCAACTCCAATATACTACCGCATCCAAGGGAATCCAGAAATCCCTACATCTGGCTTCAGTTTCCCAAACAAAGACTTTTAAGTATACTCTGAGAATGAGGGTCAAGGAGCAGCGGCCCCATTAGACAGGCAGGAAGACTGAGGCCTCCAGGAGTTTAAACAATCACCGTGGGTCAGAGGGTATGGTTAGGACTGGAGAGAGGATCATGAGAATTTCTACTTACTGAGAACTTATTACATCCAGGCACTGTGCTGAGCACTTCAGAGCAGAACCTTTAATCTTCCCAATCCACCCCCATGACATGAGTATTTTATCCCCATTTTACAGATGAAAAAACTGAGGTTGGTGGAGTTGAGTAAGGAGCCGGGCTAGCCTAATCACCGGAGTCAGGCAAACCTTACACAAGCTGTTTACTTCACTTCTCTGTGTCTCAGATTCCTCATCTGTAAGATAGAGATGAGTTCTTCCCTCAAAGGGTGGGGATTAAAAGAAATAAAAAAAAAGTGTTTATTACAAATCCTGGCACACCGTAAGTCATTACAAATGTGGTTGTTTTTATTAAACATTGGGGTTGCATTTAGGATCAGCCCCAGGGTAGGTTCAGGCTCTGGGGTGGAGGCAAGCCCAGCACCCAGGCCCTCTGGCACCCGGGCTCCTGCCTTCTGCTCCTCCCACTGAGCATAGCCTGCCAGACCTGCTAAAAGAATCGCCTCCTCTCTGTCTTCCTGCTTCTTAAGGCCAGGCACGGGCACGTCTCTGCAGGGAAGGCGGCTTGGACCTAATTACCTAATTACCTAATTACCACTGGCAGGAGCAAGCCCAGGGCTTTAATGTTCATGCCCCAAGGCGGGCGTTCCACACCCTCAAGGCCAGCTGGGGCGAGGCCAGTCTCAGTGGAACATCCACATGAATGGGGCGGGGGTGTTGACAACCAGGCCCTTCCTCTAAGGGGCTGATGGGCAGTTGTCTGTGTTGTCAGATGCCCTGGGCACAACCTGCCTTCATGAGGATGTGTCCGCCCAACTTTGGGCAGCAGGAGGCACCGAGGGGGCAGCAGTGGTCAGAGGGTCCTGATGAAGCCGCCTAGCTCTGCCCTAGCCCCTTCTGATGGAATTTAAAAAAACAAATCCTCTATCTCTAAGCTCTGCCTGGACACGTGCGATGCCTGGGAGCTCACGACCTCCTGAGACAGCCAGCCAGGTCAGCTCCCTGTTAGAAAGCTCTCTTCTGCCATCACTAAGAGTAGCCAGCGCCCGCATGTCACTGTGCTGGTCTACACCTCTCTCGTGCATCCCAGCCCCCCAAAACCCTCCTCTCGACCACTGCTACCGGTGACAAGGCTCTCACCGGCCCATGGCAATGTAGCTAATTCTGGGCACTGTGGTGAGTTTTCATCCGACCAAATGTATCCCATGTGGAGGACCCCCCTCAACCCCGTTTGCATCCTCATCCTTCCTACTTCGGGGGAGTGGAAGGGACGACATTCTGTCATTGTGGTGCTAGCAGATGTTCACTGTTTCTCTTTGTCCTAACTTGGCAAAATTAAACATTAAACATTGGAGATCATACGTTGATCCCTCCCTAAATATATATAGATAGACATTTGTAGATTATGCATGATCCCAGCATCTACCCTGTGAAGGGAGTTGTGGTAACCTCATTTTACAGATGAGAAAACTGAGGCTCAGGGAGGAGAAGTGATGGCCCAAGGTCACACAGCTAGTGAGAAGTAGGTCAGGCCTCAAAGCCCGAGTTTCTGGGCTCCAAAGTCCATGTTCTTGCCTTTCTTCCTTGGAGCTAGTTTCTTGCCTCCGGGGCTTCGTAGAATAAATCTGTTTGGAGGCAGCCTGCGGGCTCCTCCTCTGAGGCTCCACCTCCCCAGTGCTCACAAACTTTCTCCTAGCTTCCCTGCCCCTGCCTCTTGCTTACCTTCCTTCAGACTCACCCTGTGGGGGTCCCCATCCCACAGGGAACATGGCTCTTAGAAGCAAACACCATATCCCTTTCTTTATCCTCACTGCCACCCCTCCTCATCTTTGGAACAGGCCCCCATGTTTCATTTTCCAGCAATTTCTGCCAGGCAAGGCTGCTTGCCAATCCCAAGTGAAGGGTGTTTAATAACTGCCTCTCCGCCCCCCGCCCAAGTGCTCCCCCTCCACACACCCAGCCTGGGGCTGGTGCCTGCATCCACCCAGCACTGCTCAGACTTGCCCCACGGGCCTGTAAACAGCGGCTGCACCCAGGTGATGGGGTGTGGGCCTCCACCTCCCCAGCCACGTCCACCTCAGGGCAGCATCAGTAGGTGACTCACAGCTGCAGGACTCCTTCCTCCTTTCCTACCCTTCCTGCTTCTCAGCCTCCAAGCAAAGCCTTTGGTGGTGAGTAGGAAGCCCAGAGCCCCACCAGGCCGAGAGACGCCCCCCCAAAGCAGCCAAGCGCTTTCTCACAGGGCAAGGCCTTGGGAAAGGGTCCTGAGGAGCCCCTCCTCCTGGAAGAGGCCCCCCAAACAGAGCCCAGGAGCAGGAGTCTGGTGCCTCTGCTCCCTGTCTCTATGGCACTAAACAACTCATTTAACCTTTCTGAGCCTTGACTTCTCATCTGTTATAGGGAATTAAGAATATTTCCTACTTCAAGAGAGTTGTCATAAAGGTTAAATGAGCTGACACAAGGAATACATTTATAACAGTGCTGGCACACAGCACTCAGTAAATACCAGCCTTTATTACAGACTTTGCAATAAGTGTTAGCTCCACTCTCATATTTCTCTGAGCCTCAGTTTCCTCCTCAATGAAAGCAATGCCTGCTGGCATTGGGCATAAGGGCTGTTGTGCCGCTTGAGAGGATTATAAACACTATCAAGTCCTACAAAATTAGAAATTGTGCTTGTCAACCTTCCAGAAGAATCCACCCCATTTCAAGACCTCTTGTCTTTCAGAGACCACAATACATTGTGCCAGATTTTCTTCTCTTGCCCTCAGCAGTGGGACCCCCACCTTAGCCTGGGAGTATTAGCCATCTGGCCAATACTGCCCCCGCAAAGCCAGCAGGTAGGAGATGCTCTTCGAAGCCCACCATGGGCCAGGCTCCAGGCTCCACTCAGCAGTATGTTTCATCCTCACCACAACCTTGAAGGTTGGTTTTAGATCCCCACTCTGCAGATGAGGAAACTGAGGCTCAGAGCAGTTATGAAAGTTACCCGATGCCCCTTGGTGGGAAAGTGGCAAAGCCAGGACTCACCTCCAGGTTTGTCTGATGACAAAGCCAGGCCTGTTCCTCCACCTCCTGGGACAGCATGCCCAGGTCAGGCTGCCAGCCCCCCTCATCTGATGTAATCCTCCACCCCTACCCCGGCCCAAGCAGGCTCAGACAGAGGCAGTAACCATGAGCAGGGCCAGAAGGTCCTACCCGGGGGCAGGCTGGGACAGGCAGGGACTCCACAGTCATGGGGGGTGGGAGAATGGTGCATGTGCCAGAGCCCAAGGGGGTGGGAGGCGGGCAGACAGGAGCTGAGGGTGCAGTTTCCCGCCAGCTCTGCCCCAGTTTTCATCCTGGGAAGCCAGAGGCAGGACTCACAGCCCTCCAGAAGGGAGCAGCTGGGTAACCTCCACCTTCCACCATCTTCACTGGAACAGCACCAAAGACAGCTGCCCTCCCCCAGGCCAGGAGAAGGGGTGTCCATCCTCACCGTGGGGAGAAACACAGGGCAACCCACTCCAGGGAAGAACAAGGTCTTGGAGCAAGAGTCCTGGGTGTCCCCACTGGGGTGTGGAAAGAGCATCAGACTGAGCCAGCAGCCTGGGGCCTGTTTAGTAACCAATCCCTGTGCACCATCTCAGAGGGAAGCCTGAGAGGTCCACACTCAACAATGCAGCAAGCCCTGCCCTCAGGAAGCCCCCGCTCTAACGCAGAAACTCAAACTCTAAAGTGCACCCAGCTCCCTGAGGGCTTGCTAAAATGCATGTGATGATTCAGCAGGCACGGCGGGGAGCCCGAGATTCTGCACATCTGACCAGCTCCCGGGTCAGGGACCAGTGGTGCAGCTCGATGCGCAGTGTAATCACCTGGGGAACTGAACAAACAAATAGCCTGAGGCCTCGGTCCACCCCAGAGATTCCAGTCTAATTGGCACCGAATGTAGCCTGGGTATTAGGCCTTTTACAAGCTTGTCAGGTGATTCTAGTGTGCCTCTGCCTTCCCTGTAGGCACAGACAGAGAAACAGCCCTCACTCGCCCTGAGTAACAGAGGCATCAGAAGATGTGACTGGCGCACTGTCAAGCAGTCATTCCAATCCGGGGAGGGGGTATACACGAAGGAGGGATCGCCCAGTTTTAAAGAACTTACCACGTGCCAGGTGCAGTGCTGTGCCACCTACCTCATTTCATCCTTACAGTGACACCAAGAGGCTGGGTAGAGTCACCCCCTTTTACAGGTATGGAAACTGAGGTTCCAGATGTGAACTCATTTGGCCAAGCTCTCTCAGATAGTAAGAGGCAGAGCCAGATCAGAACCCAGGTCTGCCTGACTCCAAGGCCTGTGTTCATTCCACCGCATCCCCCCACCCAAAGGAAGATGTCACAGAAATGGTGACTTTGGAACTGGGCCCAGAACGTGCAGCTGAGTGCTAATCCTAATCCAATGAGCCTCTCTTCTCTGAGCTTCGGTTTCCTCATCTGTATAAAAGAGGGGACCACGTGGTCTTGAGGACCCTTCCAGCACTCCTGTTCCGTAAGTCCAGTCTCCCGGATCTCACTGAGACTCTCCTTCTCTCCCCAAAGATATAAAGTACATTGAAGTGACCTCTGCCAGATCAAGGTGCCACGATGGCCCCCAGCGCTGCTCCAGCTCGTCTGTCACTCCACCCATTGGCTCCCCGCGCAGTGGCGGCCTCCTCCTTTCCAGAGACGTCCCCCGAGAGACTCGAAGCAGCAGCGAGAGCCTCATCTTCTCTGGGAGCCAGGGCAGGGGGCACCAGCACCCCCCTGCCCCCTCTGGGGCTTCCTCCTCTCATTTCCCACCATCTCCCAGCATCTCCATCCCTTGCATGGGGAGCAAGGCCTCGGGGCACCATGACCTGGGCTCCCCACTGGTGACTTCTCCTAGCTCGGAGAAGGGGCTGAGGGGCCTGGTCCCACAAAGGAGCAGCAGGGTCTCCGTGCTGTCGGCCAGCCCAGCGTCTGATGTCAGCTACGTGTTCGGAAGGTAGGTCACTCCCACGATAGCTTCTGATGTTGCCCACAACACACACACACACCCTAAAATCACAAGGGGCACCCTGCTTTGTCTGAGCAAAATCTGGGCATGCACCAAAAATAAAAAGTGAATGTTCTCTTTTATGCCGTCACAGCCATTTGGATCTCAAGCTTTCCTCAAGCATTTAGAAAATGATTCAATATACAAAAATTTTTATTTATGCCTACCTCTTGGGAAAAGAGCTGTTGTACTAATGAGGCTCACCCCTATGCTTTCCAGCCCTCATAAGACTCATCTCGAGGAAGGTTTTTTAAAACCTCAAAACACAGGGATGTAAATAGAATTTGGGGGCCTTGGATGAACCATTTAAGAAAGAAAAGCCTCCTTCCTCTTTGTTGCTGGCAAAACTCAGAAGGAGGGAGGCAGACCTGCCCGGGCATTTTTTACAATTGCCCCAGCCTGGCTCTCTGCTGGCCTCATGGGAGAGCTGCACACGCACCCATCTTGCCAGGAAGACCAAACCACAGGACCTCTGTCCCCTACACCAACTCCAAAACCACTGTGCCAGGGCAGTCCTGGCAAGGAGGCTGGATTCCACAGCCATGCCTGCTGGCATGGGTCTCTGAGCTCAGGGAGAAATCTTGCTGGATGCAGAGCTGGCCTCCTCCTCTTCCTCCAGCTGAGGAATTCCCTCTGCGTCAGCCATGGACGTGGTCCAGCCCAGGTCCAGCTGGTGTGCAGGGCCCTTGGGAGTGATGATGGGGGGTGCCTGCTGTGACGGCTCAGTCAGACCTGCCTGGCTGGGAAGGCAGAGGGAATCCCGTCCAGCCTAAGTCCATATGACCTGTGGGGAGTCAGCTCATTGCCTACTTTAAATGACCAAAGACTATAATGCAGAGCTACTTCTGTATCCTTCAGCATCCGTTGGGGACCAGGTGGGCAAGCCCTTTGCTCCGGCTATGAGGCATGGAGTATGCAGTACTCTATTTAACCGAAGCTATGGGCACCCAAATCAGTAGATTCCAGAGCCTGGCTCATCCCCTGAGTGCCCACTTCAACACCCTAACACTCTGCCTGTCGGGTGCTCTGTCCCCCTGCAGCAGCCAGTCTCTCCTCCACTCCAGTATCTCCAGCCATCAGTCGTCTTCTAGATCCTTGGAAAGTCCAGCTAGCTCTTCCTCCAGCCTCCACAACCTTGGCCCAGTGTCCCTGTGTACAAGAGTCAGTGACTTCCAGGTCCCCAGCAACCCCACCCCAAGCATGGGCCAGCCCAGAGCAACCTACTCCCCACCACTGGCCAAGGAGCATGCCAGCAGCTGCCCCCCATCCATCGCAAACTCCATGGTGGACATACCCATTGTGCTGATCAACGGCTGCCCAGAACCAGGGTCTCCCCCACCACAGCAGATCGCAGGACACCAGGACTTCATCCAACCTGGGGCTGCTTCTTCCAGCAACCCCTGTCCAGCCACTAGGAGCCACAGCCAGACCCTGCCAGATGCCCCTCTCACTACATCCCCGGACGGTACGTTGTAAACCAATACCCCAAGCCTTGTAAGGTCTGGCTAGGGGAAACAGACGAAGCACCAGTGGGTTTCTGCAACAGCCAGTCAACACAGTGATTGAGTACCTACTGTGTGCCAAGCACTGTGCCAGGCAGTGCAGACACAGAGATGGACACAGTCTAGAAAGAGAGACAAAAACCGAGGATCACTATAGAGCAGGATAAACACAGAGATAAAGAGATGCTCTAAGTCTCATGGGGCCACAGAGGGAGAGTGATCCTTTTGGTCTGGAGAACTGGGAAGGCTCCTCAGAGGAGGTGACACCCTAGCTGGAGCTGGAAAGTGGATCAGAAGTCCAAGGCCAGAGCAGGAGAGGAAAGGCATCCCCAGCAGAGGGAACAGCGAGTCCATAGTCATGAAGGCGTGGAAGCACATGGCATGTTTAGGAATGACTAGATGAGGGACAAAATCATCGAGAATAATTTGGGGCCAGATTGTGAAAGGCCTTGAGCACCAACATAAAGAGTTGAATTTACCCTTTAGGCAATGGGGGACCAACAGAGAGTCTAAAACAGGAGAGTGATGGGGTCAGAGGTGCATGGTCACTCTGGTAGCTTCTTGGCAGATGAATTGCAGGGCCTGGCCTGGACAGAGAGAGCAGTTTTATTTGGTTCTATTTGGGTTTTTATCATGAAATGGTCCTGACAAGCTGTAACGGTGCCTGAACCAGGGTTGGGCAGGCGGCGGGGAGGAGAGAGGACAGAGCCAGGAGACCCCCCAGGACATGGAAGCAGCAGGCTTGATGACTAACTCAAGAGAGGGAGAGGGAGTGGGAGAGAGAGTCATAACTCTGACGTTCGTAGATGACAAGCTCAGAGAGGGGGAGGAGGGTAACAGACAATGCATTCCAATTCAGACAGCTAAAACCACAAAACAGCAAACACCCTCCTTCCCGTAGTCTGTGACTACAGGCGTCCAAAAAGAACAAACCAACCAGAACCCAAAGCAGGAAACACAGAGGCTAAGCCTTAGCACTCCCAGGGTGCACCTCTCCCGTGAGCAGAGCCCCCGCTGAGCCCCAGGGACACTGTCCCTGTTCCCTCACCGCTCAGCCATCTCCTTCCTGGGGCTTCTCAGCCCTCATTCAGCCACAGGCATCAAGGTGACTCCTGGGGGTGGGGGGTGACATGCTCACGCTAGCCCCTGCTCTCTCCCACTCATGAAGCCAAGTCAATGCAAAGACAAAGTGACATGACACTTTGCCTTTGAATCTGCTCTGATCATTTTCCTAGGACAAATCTTTTGCAGATTTTAGTACACTTTTTATAATGAGTTACTCTCATTATAAAATGAGAGTAACATTGGCCACAACACACTTTTTCAGATGCCAAAATTGAGAACCACTGCGCCCTGCCTTAGAGACCCAGGAAAATGGGCATTTTGGCATCTCAAAGAGCACATTTACTTGGCCTGGCGATAGTCCCATCCTGATCTGGTGATACCCTAGGATATCACTAATTATACCCTGCGATGTTATCAAATTCTGCAAAATATTCTCAAAACAAAATTCGTTTTGAAGCCTTACACTATTAGAGGCTTAAAGACCCTCAGAGGTTGTTTAGTTCACTCGGTCCCTGCTGGGCTTCAGGAGTGAAACATTTGTCCCAAATCAGAGTCAAGAATCCTGTCTCCTGATTTCCCAGCACAGGATCCTCTGCCCAGATCTGTTTTCCTTTTCTTTCATTTTCTTTTCCAGCCGAATATACCCATAAGGAACTCACAGCATTATTCAGGGAGAGGAGAGTGTGAAATCAAACAAATGATGCATCTCAGAATCCCTTATTTATCCCTTATTTCAGTCCCCAGCAGGCAACACTAGATTTGAGAAACTGTTTCTCATTAAACTGAGATTTTATCTATTTGTTTGTGATTCATTACCAAGGATACAAGGGGAAACTCCTAAGTCCTAGATGCGCCAAGCCCTGGAATTCTTCCGCTGGATTTTGCCTCCTTAGGCAGTTGGAGATACCACGGGGTCGGGCTAGGGGAGGGTGGGTTGAATGGGACCACTGGGCAGAGGAGGGGGGAGGGTCTCTCAGCTCCCCTCTGTCCAGCCTACAGGTTCCCCTTCTCTGTCTGCCTCCAGGTCCCACCAAGGACATGCAGCCCACCATGAAGTTTGTGATGGACACATCTAAATACTGGTTTAAGCCAAGCATCACCCGAGAGCAAGGTAAGAAGAAGCACTGCGTTTCAGGGGATGAGAGACCCAAGAATCAGGTCTGGGTCCCGCACTCTGCATCAGGTAGAAGGGTCCATGGGTCATGGTAGAGGAGGGAATGGCAAATGGCAAGTCCAGGGAAGTAGGGTGTCTTGTGGACCTCACGACCAGAGGAAATAAGGACTGCAGCAGGAATGGTGGAGATTAGGCAATAGAAAGGACTTCCTGGGAACTAAAGGTGATTCTGTAACATATGCTCTGTGAAGACCCTATGGGGCTGGGGGACATAGGGTGTCCAGGTGGGGCGGTAACCGTCTCTGACCCAAGGACTGTTCCAGCAATCGAGCTGCTGAGGAAGGAGGAGCCGGGGGCTTTCGTCGTGAGGGACAGTTCCTCATACCGAGGCTCTTTCGGCCTTGCCTTGAAGGTGCAGGAGGCCCCCGCACCTGCCCAGAACCAATCAGGTATGCACCTGTCTCTCTTCTCACCCAAGGCCTCTTGGAAGCCACAGGGTGTGGTGGGTTCTAGTCCCAGCTCTGCCACTAGTTCACAGAATGACCTTACGCCGGTCCCATGAGAACTCCTGGGACGAGGGTCCACCTCAGCGCTCTCCCAGCTGCCCTCCAGCACCAAGGCTTCCTTCACAGCAAGCCTGAGTTACCTCTGGCTACCTGAGTCCTCAAATTCCCTGCTCCACTCTCATGGTGGGAAGAGGAAGAGGAAGGTCCCAGCCCTCTTCAGGCTGCTGCCTTCTGGGTACCCACCTCCGCCCAGACCAGATTTATCATGAGGGAACCTAATGTAGTAATAACGCTTGTGTGCTAGCTTATCACATGTGTGAGAGCTTATCACATGCTTTCCTGTGGCCTTGCACACCCAACACACATCTATGGAGCATCCACCCTGCACCAGGCACTGTGTAAGGCACCAGGGATACCCCTTTGGGGAGACAGATAAAAACAGATCATTATAGTATAAGCTGCCTGGGTCACAGCCTCTCACTAAACCCCAGGATTGTAGCTCTCAGATAACAAACGGATGAGGTTACAGAGGCTCAAGAGTTAGTAAATGACCCCCCCGGAGCAAGTAAGTGATAGAGCAAGGATGAAAACCCCAACCTCAAATTCTCTACACTGTGCCTCTCTGTCTAAAGAAAAAAGTGACCTCTGGGGCGGTGTTGGTCATCAAGGAAGCCTTTCCAGAGGCCATGAGGTGAAGGCTACAGGCTGGTGGAGAAGAGGCAGAGGGCATTGTTCACCCTCCCAGGGCCACCCTGGCTCCAGCAGTGACCATCTGGTGGAGAATAATAGCGCCTGGGAGCAGATGGGTAGGGGAGAGAGAAACCAGGCTGAAGAGTTGCAATTTGATCCAAACAGTCTTGGGGAACCATCCCTGACAGCTCTTTTTTTTTTTTTTTTTTTTTGGTGAGGAAGATTAGCCCTGAGCTAACATCTATTGCCAATCCTCCTCTTTTCACTGAGGAAGACTGGCCCTGGGCTAACATCCATACCCATCTTCCTCCACTTTATACGGGACGCCGCCACAGCATGGCTTGACGAGCAGTGCGTTGGTGCACTCCCAGGTTCCGAATCTCTGGCCACCGCAGCGGAGCGCACGCCCTTAACCACTACGCCACCAGGCCGGCCCCCCTGACAGCTCTTGAGACCAAGAGAAAGGTCTCCTGGAGGGAGAATTACCAGATGCAGAAGCCTTTGAGCAATGGTGTTGGCACCTTCTTTGTGGGAGGCCTTGAAGATAGGATTCCTACTTTCAGTCCCACTCAGAGGCAGAGGGATGGACAAGTTAACCTCTGGATGGACTGGGAAGAGGCAGGTCAGGGAATGAATTGGTCAGAGTTTGGCTAACACACCCGTCCACAGGCGCTCTCTCTCCTTTGTTCAGGCGAGGATGGCAGTGACCTTATCCGCCACTTCCTCATTGAGTCTTCCGCCAAAGGGGTGCATCTCAAAGGAGCAGATGAGGAGCCCTACTTTGGTGAGCCTCTCCAGCCTGCAGCTCCGGGGTGGGCGGAGAGGGTGGTCTGGGGAAGGCTTCTCATGCAGGGCTGCCTGATTCCTTGCAGGTAGCCTCTCTGCTTTTGTGTGCCAGCATTCCATCATGGCCTTGGCCCTGCCCTGCAAACTCACCATCCCGCAGAGAGGTGGGTTGGGGCGCCGGACCTGTTTGTTCTCTCTAGAAAGGCTCCTGGTGGTCACGTCTCATGTTATTTATGGATTATTTTAGTGTCACAGTTACAAGTACATGCTCTAGGGTCTGTCAACACCTATTGATACCACTGGTGTGGGGATTTAATGGGATAGCTCAGGCGAGGCTCTTAGCACAATGCCTGGCGCAGAGTAGATGTTTGATCAAGAGTAGCCTTCTTTAAGAGGGTGAAAGGAGCATAAATCTGCTGGTTTGGTGAGGTTTGGTTTTTTCTTCCAGGTCCCACATTTACTGGGCACTCTCTCAACTCATTCACACCCCACTACAACCCTGGGGAGCAGATGCCACTGGGATCTCCACTTCACAGATAGGAAAAGGAGGGTTCGAGGCCTTAAGTAACTCGCCCAAAGGCACACGTAGTCAGACCTCGAACCCAGAGCAGGAAGCCCCATCCAGAGCTGACAGCCCAGCCGCACCCCCAGATGGAGGAGGTCTTCTCAGGGCACGCAGAAGGAGCAGCGAGTGGGGTTTCTGGGAGAGGCGTCAAGGGCAGGGGGAGCCCCTGGTGGAGTGATGGCAACAGCCTCCCTACTCTGCAAAGAAAGGCCTGGGTTTGGTGGAGTCTGAAAGAAGTGAGGAGGTCTCTGAGGAGCAGGTCACTGCAGCAGTCCAGGGGCTGGAGGAGCGAGGAGGGGGAGAAGGGAGCAAAAGGCTTGCAAACTAGGCGTTTGGGAAGCCAAAAGCGGCCCCCTTTGCCTAATTACGGTAATCACCTGGTTTCTTAGCCAAGCCACTTCCTGGAGGTGAGGGCGGAGGTGGGAGATGTTCAAAGGGATTAATGAGGCCTGTTCCTATGAGAGGGGTCCATTCACTCCACCCCCACCCCCTTGGGGGCCTGTTCCTTTGCTTTGGCTCAGAATTGGGAGGTGGAGCCGGGGCCTCAGACCCCTCTACAGACGGCGGCCGGGCCTCCTGCCTGAAGAAATCTGCTGGTGAGTGGTACAGGGGAGGCTCCACGCTTGGCTGTGCCTCCTGAGCGCACCTCCCAGCCCTGCGTGCACACACTTGCACACACAGGTCCACACGTGTTTCCCATCACACCTTTATTTCTTCATCTTTTACAAGGTGCCGCATTCCTCCACCTCCCTATAAACCGGGAGATGAGAGGCTGCAGACAGTGGGCCAAGGGGAAGAGGGACAGGAGAGGAGGGGAGTTGGTGAGGCTTACACCCAACCTGTACACACATGGGCACATGTGGACGTGCTGGGGTCTCTCTGGATCTGAAGTACCTGCCCTTGAGGTGGTCTCTGGGTCCGGGATCCTCTGTGGGATATCAGGCCCAAGTCCTGGGGGTTTCTATAGAGGAAAAGTCTCTCCTCCTCACATCCAGAGGCCAGGCATCGATCAGCACTTGTCTGAGTGACAGCTCCTACTCTGTGCCCCTTGAGCACAATGGCCCCCTCCCCGTTCTAGACTTCTCTCCCTTCTCTCAACAACGAACCAGGACCCCAGGGCAGGTAGGGGTGGAGGTGGCACCAGCAATGGGTCTGGAGAGAAGGAAAGTTTGCCTGGACACCCCTACACAGAGGGCAACATCCCCTCCCTTGCCCCAGCCTGGAGGGCTAGGGGCCAGGGCAATGCAAAGTGACAGATGGTCCCAAAGTCCTCTGGAGTTGGCCCCAAATTGCAATTACCCACACACTCCCTGCCTTCCTGTTGGCTCAAAGAGGAGCCCTACTAGATTCCTGAAGAAGGAAGTCACCCCCATCCCATGGCTCTGGGCAGAAGGAGGACCAGGGCCTGGGTGACCTTCACCCACCTCATGGATCCTGGCAGGGCCCCAGCACAGTATCTGCATCCCACAGGCTGCCAGGCCCTGTACCTGAGCTCCGTGAGCATGGAGACCCTGACTGGAGCCCTGGCGGTGCAGAAGGCCATCTCGACCACCTTGGAGAGGGAGGTTCTCCCCACGCCCACCGTGGTCCACTTCAAAGTCACTGAGCAGGGCATCACCCTGACTGACGTCCAGAGGAAGTAAGGGGCTTTGCTTGCCCTGGGGCTATGGGGCTGGGCAGGGTGAGCTGGAGGGGATGGCCAAGACGGCTGTGGATCAGTGATGAAGGTAGAGTTCAGGGTCCTGGACCCGACAGGGTCAGTGACATACTGAGTGACTCCAGGCAAATTCTCTTCCTTCTCCGGGCCTCACTCCAAGGACCTCCTGCCAAAGTCCCCCTCCCTCTGATTGATGGAGATGGAATCAACTGGTATTCGTTGGGCACTGATTAAATCTGCACCCATTGATAGAACATCTTCTGTAGGCCAGACTCTGGCTGACCACTGGGACACAGTGGGCTGGGATTGGGCTCAGGGATTCACAGTCTAGCAGGAGCGTGGTCCTGGGCTTGAGGAACAAGAGATGACCAAGACTAATTCCTATCCTCAAATAGTTAGGTGACATGGTGGGCAGGGAGCAAGGAAACCCCAATAGGTACGACACATGGCAGATGCACTCCCCGAAAGGAAAGAAGGGCAAATGTGTGCCCCAGGGTCCCGCAGTGGGGGGCTGTAAGGAGTCTAACTGGGAGGCTTCTTGGAGGGAGCTGGAGATCATGGAGATGGGGCATAACACTGGACGGGCTCGCACCAGCTCTCCTTCTCTCCCTGCCTCTTCCCAGGGTGTTTTTCCGGCGACATTACCCCCTCACCACCCTCCGTTTCTGTGGCATGGACCCAGAGCAACGGAAGTAAGTTCAAGGCTGGGCCTAACTAAGGAAGCCATCCAGGGCCTAGCTGCCCACCGAGGTTCCCTGCTGACTCTGGGATTGGGACCACAGACAGAGCCTGTGAACCTCAAGCGGCCAGGAGCAACAGAATGAGGGAAGGGTGGGGCATGGTGGGGGTGGGGACACAGCTGGACATTCTCGCCCGCTGCTCAGCCAGAGTCCTGAGGAATGGAGCAAAGCCTCAGTACTCATTACTGTCCACATTCCTTTCCCACAGGTGGCAGAAGTATTGCAAGCCCTCTAGGTAAGAGGCCCCATCCTGACCATGGTTTTGATGGGGGTGGCACAGGCCCTGGCCCTCAGGAAGGCCCCAGAATCAGGGGGAGACATGAGCCTGGGAGCCCTCAGTCTTATGTGGAGGCACAGGCTCTGACCTCAGGGAGCCTTAATCTGTAGGGATGCCCAGGTTTGATGGTCAAGACACATCCTTGCCCTCAGGAAGCTTCCACCCTGCTGAGGAAGACACAAGCTCTGTCCTCAGGGAGTCCCCATTCCAAATGAGGGAAACCCAGATCTTGAACTCAGGGATCTCCCAGTCTGACAGGGGAGGCACCTCCTCTGCTCAGAGAGCTCCCATTATAATGAGGGGCTGGAGCCACTTGGCTGGGGAAGCTGCCTGGAGGAACACTGTGTAGGCTGAGTTCCCCTCCTCCCAGCCTGGTGCCTCCCTGCGTCCCGCCCCTTACTCAGGCTGCTCTCTCCCACCAGGATCTTTGGCTTTGTGGCCAAGAGCCAGACTGAGTCACAGGAGAATGTGTGCCACCTCTTTGCGGAGTATGACACAGTCCAGCCAGCCTCACAGGTCATCAGCCTGGTGGGTGCTCTGCTGCAGGACACAGAAAGGATGTAGGGGGAGGGAGCTTCCTGTACACCTTCCCAGATATCCCAAGGGGCTTGCTCAGGAGCCCCCCACCTCCCTCTGAACAAGGGGCTTGTGGCCACACTGATGGACCAATCTATTGAACTGGAGGAGAACGGTACCAAGTTAAAACTCTTGAACCCACTGTGACCTTCAGCAGTGACCGTCATCCAGAGCCCCCTGGGTCTCAGTTTCCTCAACCATAAAAGGAGGTCAATAGACAGGATCAGCTGTTCTTCTCTGACTTTGGCGGGCATCTTAACAAGTTCCCTGTGATTCTGAAGCACACTCACATCCAAGGACCCCCACGTGAAAACAACCTCTGAGGACCCCTGACTCCATCAGCCTGGACGCTACCGACAGCAGCCTGAGCTAGAGACCTGTGACCCTGTTTCATGGCAAACAACAGGTGCTGGGTGGGGACCCATACGGTCATGTCCTGAGGCTGGCCTGAGAGCAGATGGTATGCAAGGATTGAGGACCAAAGGAGGGATGGACTGACTCTCTTTCCCTCCATGTCTGTTCCTTTCGCCACTTCCCAGGACAAAGCTGGAACCCCTGCCCCAGATTCTTTAGGCCAACGTGGCTGTGGTTTTGGGGGCTTAGCAAGGAAGAACTTACCCTCATGGTCAGAGATGACCCAGCTGTCCTTGGGTTCTTGATGTCTAATCCCCTCCATTGCCAATGAGTATCAGCCCCATCTTTTCTTTCAATTTTTTGGTAAGCAAGTGTCCTCCAGCTGGTGACACAGCTGCACTAGTGTTGCTTATGTAACCCACACCTGGGAGGTGGGGGCAGCGAGATCCTTGCTCTCCAAGGCAGACACAAGGGCCAGCTCTCTCTGGCTGGGCCCCTCTGCCCCCCCAACACACACACAAACACACACACACACACACGCGCACACACACACACACACACGCACGCACGCACGTGCGCGCGCGCGCGCGCGCAACGGCCTTCTACAGTGATGTGGCATCGACTGGCCCCGCGGCCACGTGGGGGCAGCAGAGAGTCAAGAATGCAAACAGGCAGCCCCAAGAGGCTTGGAAAAGCTGGGCCGTCTTTCTCGCCACCCCCCAATCCAGCCCCCTCACTCCAGAAGCTAGAATCGTTTGCCTAGCAGGCCTGGGGTCCTAAGGAAACCACAATATATGGTGGAAGGGGAGCTCAGAGAAGAAGCCCACTTTTGCTCTGTGAGGAACGAGTGCCTGTCCCCTCCCAGCTGTGGGCCCTGCCAGAGCATCATTATCTTTGGCCAAAGTTGGGCATGACCGGTTATGATTTCAACCCCGGAAACCAAACCGGACTGAAGCGGCCCTGGGCTGGCGAGACCAGCAGAGACCAGCCCACCCAGCCTGTGGTCAGACACTGCTCCATCCCCAGAGGCTGCAGAATGCTAGGCAAGGTTCTCAAGGTCACAGTCTAGGGGCTGACAGAGAGCCCCCATACACCCATGGGTGCCTGTGTGGCTTCCATCATGGAAAATAAAGTGTCTGTCTTTGCATAACAGTTGGTTCTGAGGCATTCAGGGCTGTCCCATCAGAGATGGAGACCTGAACAGAGAAGGGGACCTGAGTTGGCACATAGTGGCCGTGTCTTAGAGAAGACCATGTGTGCCACACTCCCTCCCACACCCTGGCCACAGCAGTACAGTCTCCATTGGCTTCTACTTCATAAACCATCACTTAAACCATTCTGTGTCCCCCACATGTCCAACACACCTGTTCTTCTTCTTCATGACCCCTTTCCTGCCACCCTGCCAGGAAGACAGAGGGTTGGGACTTCCCCTGTGTCCCAGGGCCAATGGTGAGTATGTGTGACACCTCCAACAGGTGCCAAGGTCTCACTCAGGCTCCCTGAGGGGCGAAGAGAGACAGGTGAAACATGGGCAGCTCAAGTTCGGAAGAGTCCTTGAACCCAGATGTGCCCTGAGCTCCCAGCTCAGCCATGGAGAAGTGGACAATGGCCCCATCATCCCACCTGGGGCCTGGGGAGTTCTACCTCTAGCCCCTGTCAGCTGGCAGTCCAAGTCTTGCCAAACCGTGCAGGAGGGGGCTGCAGGGGGTTTCTGCTTTCCTAAAGAGCCTTAGGAAGGGGACAGCTGCTGCTTCTGTTGGGCTGAGCTATGGGACCCAGCGGCAAGGGCTGCCCTGGAGGGCCTGTGAAGAGACCTTCCCAAAGACCTTGAGCCACCGTTGAGTAGCCCCTGCCTCCCCTCCTACTGCCAAACTGCATCTCCAGCCCCGCGCCCCGGCCCATCTTGGCCTGGCCATGGACAGAGTCTGTGGAGGGTGATAATGTCTGCTGCATTCACCGTAGCTCATCTTTCCTCCAGGAGGATTTAGCAGAGAACCTGACTTGGACTTATGCTGACGAGCAGAGCAGCCAGCCCAACAAGGGTGGGAGGGTTGGAGGGCAGAGGGGAGGAAGGACAGCCACCAAGCCAGGAGCCAGGAGGAGAGGGGTCTTCACACACATACAGGGACACCCAGGAGTTTGCTCTCCAGGAGGCTTCAAGCCTTGCAGCCCTTGGTCTTAAGCCTCCCTCCCTAGGACCCCCTCCAATGTCACTTCTCCCAACTTGCCATCCCTCCCCATCCCTTTCTCCATCCTTCTCTCTATACACATAGACACCACCCACCTACTGCTGCTCACTTCCCCCTCCCAGTTTCTCTCCCCTCCTCAGCCCACCTACCACCGAACCCATCTTCCCTCTCTTTACAGAAAAACCTTCCCTCTCGCTCACTCTTTTCCCATTTCCTTCCCTCCTCCTTTGTCCCAGGTGGCTGGACCCACAGCAAAGCCCAGCTGCTGCTGGAGTTGACGGGGACGGAGGAGGCAGCCCCTTGCACTGCCGACCATTTTTCAAAATTCAGATTCCCACGCCCCCTCCACCCTGCCTCCCCTCTGGTACAGAGTGGCCTCCCCAGAAGGCTGAAGCACCCTCACCCCCACTCCCATCTGACCAGCCACCTCTCCCACACTCACCTCTCACTGAGGGCCGAGGTGGCTCACCTCCACCCTTTCATCCTTGGCCTCCTGCCCTTGACTATCCTGCCATCCAATAGGTTGTGGGCTTGGAACCAGGGCTGGGCTGGGGGGCTAAGTGCTCCCAACCCAGAGGTTGGTACCTTGATTCATGCAATAAATGTTTTCTGGCTGCATGCTTCGTTCACATGAGCCAGGAAAACAGATAAATATGGCAGTGTTATACCAGAGGTTTGTAAAGGCCATGCAGGGCTGGCAGGAAGGGTAGAAACAGGGAAGAAAAACTTTACCCATTTGGAGGGAATGAGGGCAATGTTACCAAGGAGGTAACATTTGAGTTGGGTCTTCAAGGATAAATAGAAGTTTAGCATGCAAATAGGGAAAAATAAACTTTTGCTGGAGGGATCCTATGTGCTATGGGCAATGTGAGGCACATTATATATGTTTAATCCCATTTTACAGATTAGAAAACTGAGGCTCAGAGGGTTATCTTGCCCACATTCACCTAGCTAGTAAATGGCAGAGACACAGGAATCCAAACCTGTGCCCATTCTACTGCTTCACCACTCTTAGACAAGCAGATGGATGAATTTGTGTGTGAAGCACACAGGTATGAAAAGGTACCATGTTCAGCATGGCTAAAGTATATGGTATCCAAGGGAGTAGGTGAGAGAGGAAGCAAAGGAAAGAGGCAGGAGCTGGATCATCAAGAACCTTGAGTGCTAAGCTGAGAGTGTCTAGGGAATGAATACTTGTTAAATGAATGCATGAATGGACAAGGTTGGACTCAGGACCACTGTGTACAGTCACACAGGTTGTGCAATGCAAAACTGTATATGACAACCTGTGTGGACTTCTCCTGTAGGTCATGGGGAGACATCAGAGGCTTTTCAACCAGGGAGTAAGCAACAAGATTTGTGCTTTGGAAATATGACCGTGGGGGCAGAATCTGAGGCCTAGGTTGGGGAGGAACAGGATGGGAAGAGGAAGCTGTGAGGACTTGGATTTCAGGCCAGGAAAGTGATAAGAGCCTAAGAATAGGGGCTCTCATTCCGAGACAGGCTGGGGCAGGAGCCTCCTTGATCTGGGCCTGGGTCCTGGGTTCTCTCTGAGCTTGGAAGGACCATGTGGGAAAGAGCAGGACCAGGGACCCCCAGTCCCCCTTGTATTAGTCTGCTCAGGCTGCCATAACAAAATACCAGACTGGGTGTGTTAAACAATAGACATTTATCTTCTCACAGTTCTCGAGGCTGGAAGTCTGAGGCCAGAGTGGCAGCATGGTTGGGTTCTGGTGAGGGCTCTCTTCTTGGCTTGCAGACGACCACCTTCCCACTGTGTGCTCACACGGCCTCAGCACATACTTGTAGAGAGAGAACTCTCTCTTCCTCTTCTTATAAAGCCACCAGTTCTATCAGATTAGGACCCCACCCTTATGACCTCAGTTAACCCTAATTGCCTCCTAAAAGTCCTATCTCCAAATACAGTCACACTGAGGGTCAGGGCTTCAACATATGAATTTGGGTTACACAATTCAATCCATAGCATCCCTCTAGACAGGGCCCTGCCCAGCCATGTTCTCCACCCCCACAATCTCCCCATTCCTGGCCAGGCTGGGGCCTTCAGCCCCAGCAACGCAGACTCTCTTCTTCCTGACTCTGTCCTTGGAGCCAGCCAGGGGCTTGTTTTGTAACTGTTTCTGGGAAGGCATCTCAGCCTTCACCTCTCCCCAGTTGAATCTTGCCAAGGGGGGCAAGTGGGGCTTGGCTTGGAGCAGGCCTGGGGGGCAGGGAACCAGAAAGAGAGAACGGGGAGGAGGAGGAGAAGGGAGACTGATGCTCGCTCACTCATTCACTCATTTCCCAAATATGTGCTGAGCTCCCATGTGAACAGTGCAGAATTAGGTACACCAGGGTCAGCCAGGAGGCAGGGGGAAGTCTGCATGTGCCCCAGGAGAGATGTTCTTTCCTCCACAGCATTCAGATGTGACACCCTGTGAACATTGAGATGTGACATATCGTTTTCCTAGTTCACCCCACACCCACCTAAGCACGTACACACACACACACACACACACACACACACACACACACACGTCTTCCCTCTTCTGCATCAAGAATTACAAGCCTGGGTGGTCAGGCAGATTTGGGTGGCAGGTCCCCTCTGCCATTGACAAGCCACATGATTTAGGGCAAGTCACTTCTCTGGGCATTGAGCCTCGGTTTCCTCAACTGTAATATCCACCTCACAAAATTAGGGTTGAGGGAAGCCTAGAGGCACTGGATGTGAATGCACTTTGTAGCCCATGG